TTTCTTTCGGAAAATTAAACGATTACTGACCCATGTTTTTTTTCCCTACAAAATTTTTAAAACCCCAATGGCCTTGAAACGGTTTATTTTTTTTGGAATATTTTTCACTTGCAAGATTTGAAAGATTGTTAAAAATTAGTTCCACCCATAAAATGGTCGCTATTCCACTGTTGTCTGTTATCACTTATCGTAACCGTTCTAAAAAGAAGAATATCAACTGGTAATTGTACGACACCGACTGTGCAAAAAGCAAATTTGATGTGTTTGATTTCTTGACAAAAGGTTTACCCAAATTTTTTTAAAACAATGTTCCCAAAAAAATTTAAAATTTCTCACAGCAATGGACCATGATCATGCCACATAAAACGGCTCGGAATGTCGAAGATTGAGGGATCCCCTGTCTTTGGGTATTTTTGTGATTTTATCGTCTTTTTTCATGCGAATATGGGACTTCAACACACAATAATTGCAAAAAAATTATTCCCCACAAGTTTTTTGACGGGGTCACCCACCGGTAAAAATGGTTAGTGGCCCCAACTTTCGGTGCCAAAGGGGCTGGGGTTCCCAATCCCAGGTAAGACATGGAAAGTTTGTGTTGTAATCCTTCTCTTCTTTGTGATATTTCTTCAAAAAACTTTTTATGGACCACCCCGGTGATACTTTGTGGGGGAGGGAAGGGGGATAAAATGTTCTCAATAAAAAAGTATTGACAAAAATGTAAAAACTTTTTTTCGAGATGTTTTTACAATCTTATTTCAAACAATACAAAAACTTCTGTACTTGCAAACCCAAAAAGGGTTTTATCCCCATTTTCCCCCTATGAATATTGAAATCAATTAACCTAAGTACTATATTAAAAAAATCCCCAAGCACAACTATTTTAATTTCCCGGGCCCATAAAAAAGAAACATTTAGCATTTATCCTTTAAAAAAAATTTTTTCTTTTCTGGGTTTTTTTTGACATCCTTGTAACTTTTATTATCACTTTATTTTTTTTTATTTTTTTCTTCAATTGAATGCCGCCTATGAAACAAACTTTTCCCCGGGTTGCAGGATTGATTCAAAGTTACCGACACTGAGTGGGTTTTTCGGGAAATTTACCACAATGCATTCATTTTTGTGGTCTAGTACTAATCTACGTGGGAAAAAGGTCGAACTGTCATTTTTGTGAGAAAATGATTGTGTTAAAAAAAAGATTTCTGCAAAAAATGATTTTTGGTTTTTTTTTGCTGTTTTTCATACAACCCACGAAAATACTAAAAATCAACATTAAAATACTTTTTGTGTTTGTGTCTCAAAATAATATCTGCGTTGTCTGGGGTTGGTAAAATGAAGCGTAGATTACAAAAACCGGCCGGCTCGAGGACTTGGGGTAACGTGTCCCTTCGTAAGCTAAAGGTTGGGGTTCGATCCTTTTGGGCCCCGGTAGCCGGTGGTATAGGTATCGAACCGTGGCTTCCTGTCACGGTTGAGCATCCACTAAAACCCCCGTGTAGGCGCGTGCCCTTAAAACTGTCGAGAGCTGAAACGTCCTCCTGTTGGTGTGGTGTGGGAGTTAGGAGAGATAGCTCAGGTGTCGTCCCGTCACTTGACCATAGTTCAAAAATTTCGGGGCCGTCGCCAAAAACCCTCTGTACTGAACAGTGCGCATTAATATTCAATCAATCAAGCGGGTTCGATCCTGGCGGGAATCGCAGCTTTTTTGGGCCCGAAAAACATAGGCACGCATGACAAAATGGTTATGTGGCATGTAAACGATCCATTGAGTGCCAATTTAGCTCTGGTACTCGCGGAAAAATTAATTCACGGCAATATTTAGCATCCGGTGAGAGCTTGAATTAAATTAATTCCTCTAGGGAGTGCCACCCCTGAAACGGCTCTCACTTTTGGGGTCTTTCTGTTTTCGAAAATGCTTAGTTGCTAACAAGCAGCCCCATTAGAAGAGAAGAAAGTTACGAAAATCGTTAATGGTGTAACGTTTTCCTCTCCACAGCTGCAAAATCGGCTTTCTACATAGATAGCATTACGCATTCACATCCAAACGTGCATCACTAAATATTGCTGTGCCTTTTCATCTGACATCGCCCCGACAACCGATGGCCGTGAGAAAAACACCACTCCTTCCACGAGCCGACTGAAATTCGAGGTGTAAGAGAAGAACCGAAGCCCAGTGGCTGAGTGGTTAGTACATCAAGCTTCCACGCCACAGGTCTGAGGTTCAAACGACGGACTGGGTAGGGTTGACTCAGCTTTTCATCCCTTCAGTGGTTCGATAAAAGTACCAAGCTTGCTTGGGAACTTAACACTGGGGGTTTCGCGTCAGGCAGACCACCTCACTGGAACATCTGCTCATGCACCTTAGAAGCCTAAGGTCGCGTACATTGAGCTGGACACAGTAGACTTTGGCCCTTATGGGCTGTCGTGCCACTGAGTTAAGTTAAGTTAAGAGAAGAACCACCCCACCCCAAGACAGTGGAGAGAAGTCCGCTTTGAAAAACTGAGAACTGACAATATACTACAAAGGACATGCTTTGAAGAATTGAAATAATCAATAATATGAATAACTTCTTTTTCAATGAAAATATTGTATATAACAGCTGTAGACGTAAATATATCAATTATTTAATTTCTTATCTCTCATGCTACCCATTAAATTTCCCAAACGTCACAACAGTTTTAGAAATATGTCTTGCTCTGTTAACAATAAAATTAAAAAAAACTTCTCAAAACTTTTTAATTTTTATTTTTAATACATCTTAACTCTTAAAATGGCAATATTTTTTCCTATAATGTTATGTTAAAATATGTTTGGGGACTGAAATTGATAAGAAATTCCTTTAGCTTATTACCTTTAGGTAATTTGATTTTTATATAATACCATTTATTTGAGGAAAGCATACTCACCACCGCCCACTGAGAGTTATTCAAAGATAAGGCATCTATGTTTTGCATTTCTCTTCATATTGCATTGCACGATACATCTAAATTATAGCTTTTAAATGCTAAAATCTACAAAAGAAATTATATAAATTAGATATATTTTGTATTCAAATGCTTAAATTTTACATTACAAAAATTACTTCCAAGATAATACCTTAATTAGAATAATAAGCCCATTGCAATTAACAGAATCTAAACAATCTCTATATTCGATTTATCTAAGTTCTTTAGTAGAGCTTATAATTTAAATGTTAGTAAAAAAAAATTCTTCAAAAAGATTTTTTTAAATTAAAAAAAAAAAAATCATATTTTATGCTTATACTTTTAAATAAAATACATTTTGTATACATATGTACTTTTTAAGAGAACATTTCTGCAAAGAGCAAAACTTGGCAACACCTTAGCGCTTGAACTGATTATCTGGAAACACTAGATAGTTTTTATCGTGTGACTATGACGTTGCATGAGTTTTTAAATTGATTGGCTAGAATCACGTGGCTTTCACTATCATGTGACTATGACGTCACATGAATTGAGCCCATTGCAGAACCCCCTTCAAGCTGCTTCTGAAACCAATTGATTTCTTTCAGTTTCGTTTGTTTGCTTTACTCTATATTACAGAACGAGCGAACTTACACTGGAGGTTACAGCACACATAAGTTTTTACCAATTTGCTCAAATATGAGATAGTAAACTTGAGCTTGTGGTTGAAGAAGTAGAGTTGAAGGATCGGAAGAAAGTAATACTATACGCTGGACGTCACTTAATCAGCGTGATAAAACAAACAAGAGCTTTCTATTTTAAACACTGAGGTAGATCGTGGTTATAAGAAAAAAAAAATTCTTATTAATCGAAACCTATTTATGCGGTAAAGATGTCATATCGTATAGAGATTAGAAGAAAAATAATTTAAAATATTTGTTTCAAAATTTAATATTTTGGCAAAAAGTTGAGTTTTGAAAAAAAAATATTAAAAAAACTTAATTTTGGTTAGCTAATTTTAGACTACATGTCGTATGATTATACGGCATGTAAAAGTTCCCTGAGTGTTCTAGGTAAAATTAAATCCTAGTACAGGTTTGCATCGTCAGAACTCAGGTGCCTCCCACTAGGGAGAAAACTAGGCGTTAAAATTACCTGCGGCGATTGGTATCTGCCTATGTGGCGCGACATTAAAAAGATACCAGCTTTCAGGGAATGTACTAGGTCTGCAATGGAAAAACTTCAATTGGCAGCCCATTAGAAATAAAAAATTTAGACTCATAATAACAGCTTTTTTTTTTACAATATAAAATAACCAAAAGCGATTGTTATTGATAAGTGGGTACCAGTGGCGCACACAAGGGGGGGTCCTGAGGGTCCGGACCCCCCCCAAAGCCCTTGATTTTTTTCCAGATTGATTATAATTCTAAGTATATAGTACATAAAATCTAATTAAGTATTTGTAATTAATGATTAATTTTATTAATTAATTCGAATTATTTTTTAAATAATTAGTTTTTTACTGTGTTTGGTTCCCCAAAATCGACAAAATCGAAAGGAGCATGATACAAGAATGGTGAATTCTCGACTCCGGACCCCCCCCCCTTGAAAAATTTCTGTGTGCGCTACTGGTGGGTACTGAACAGTAAATAGAACTATGTAGATTGAAACACATTTCATAACCCCCACCTTCTCTCATTGAATCGTCAAATCTGTTCGATCCAAAATGTTTTTTATCTTTTGCTTTATAGTGCACTGTCATTTTGACAGTAGGTTTAAAACAATTTTTTTAAGTCAATTCCTACTTAGGTCAACAAAAGAAAATTTTATATTTTATATATATATAGTTACTTTTATATATTAAATAGTTTTACAATTAATATAAATTTGTTTTACATATGACAGAATTACAATATTGACAAAATAGAAAGCGATTTTCCTTGCAATTTTCCATATTCCTTTCTGTATATGGTATTGGACTATTTTTGTTTGTTTGTTACTATTTATTCACTAATTAAATTTAATTATTCTAATGAAATAGTGTTGTATAAAAGAAATTACATTCTCAGAAATTAAGCTATCCCAGGTGGGATTTCAACTCACGACCTTTGGATTAAACGTCCAACGTGCTATCCATTGCGCTACAGGGACACAACGAACGATTTTCCTTTCTATATATGCTGTTGGACTATTATTTTTGTTTGTGTTACTATTTATTTATTTTTTAGTTTAATTCATGAATTAATATTTGAAAAAACTGTATTAACATCAAGTGTTATCCGCTACAAGTTTAAAAACGTATTTGAACTTGAATGGATGAATAGAAAGTATGTTATTAACAATTGAAAATTTGAACAAGATACACACACACACACACACACACACACACACACACACACGCACACACACACACACACACACACACACACATATATATATATATATATATATATAGAGAGAGAGAGAGAGAGAGAGAGGGAGAGTGAACTATTGTAACTATTTAGTAGGTGTACTTTCATTGCAAAAGTGTTAACAAATAATAAAGGGCTTCTTTTTATTTTACAAAAATTATTCGGACTTTTTATCATAAAAAAAGCTCAAATACTTAAATTTTCTTCCCCTTATGGCAATACTTAAGACAAAAACTTATCTTCTATATTATCTTTTCCTTCTTCCGTATACTAGAGGACAGTTTTTTTCCGCGCAAGTAGGTCTTGAAATTCTGGGAAAAAAAAGTGTGTGTACTTATGTACGCACGTAAGAAGTTATACTTCTTTGGCGTAACAAGATTAAAGTCCTAAAAATCTTTTGCTGTTCCAAGGACGAAAGGCGGTCACGATCAGAGTTGAACGATACTAACCTTCAGTCAATCGGACCAGCCAAACCTGAGATAATCACGATTTAAATAAATTTAAACACCCCCGCACAGGGACAATAGGACCAATAATACTGGGAGGGGGTCGAAGGCGGGAATGATCTGTCTTGTTCTGCATATTTCTAGACAAAGCATTTTCGTATCCGTTCCAACGGAACGCAAAGCAAAGGCTCTCTGACACAGAGTGTCTTGCGCCAGAAAACCCCAAATTCACTCACTCACTCACTGACACGGAGTGTATAGTTCAGTGATAGAGCATTCGACTGCAGATCGGGAGATCCCCGTTTCAAACCCGCGTGTCCCCTTCTTCAGGGGAGTGAAGAGAAATATATATATATATATATTTTTTTTTTTGAGAATTTCGAAGGTGGCAATGATTTGTCCCGTTCTGTATATTTCTAGACAAAGCATTTTCGTATACGTTCCTACGAAACAGAAAGCAAAGGTTCTCTGACGCGGGTGTATAGCTCAGTGGTAGAGCATTCGGCTGCAGATTGGGAGGTCCCTGGTTCAAACCCGTGTGTCCTTTTCTTCAGGGAAGTGAAGAGAAATATTTTTCTGAGAATTTTGAAGGCGAGAATGATTTGTCCCGTTTAGTATATTTCTAGACAAAGGATTTTCGCATTCGTGACGGTGTGCGCGCGCATTGTAAAAATTTACCCTCATCTTCTTTCTCTAACGCCCTAAATGAAGTATAACTTCAAAAAAAAATCAATCTACTTTATTAAATTTATTTATTGACGCAGTTGTGTGATGAAAGCAGTCTATAGTGAGAAATTTCATTAAAAACATAGCTTGGGGACATGCATGCATTTCTTATGATTCCCGAAAAGAGAGTGTTTCAAAATATTGTTTGAAAGAGCTGGTCATATATAAAAAAGGCTCTCATGGTGCATTATTGGTAAATTCTTGCTCAAATAGTTGATTTTGCAGCAATAAAAGGTTGCAACCCGAACCGCAAATTACAGGAATCTTATTACACAAATACAATTCCGTTATTCTGCGGTTACTTATGTTAAATCAGTTCTGCGTGGTTAAGTACTTTTTTCATCTGATGTGGTTTTTTCTACTATACCACATAATAAGCTCTTTATTTTTCTGTTTCTAATTATACTAATATTTGTATTTGGAAACGTATGTTTTGTTTTCCCAATTGTGAATAATTTTTTTCGATCGGAATGTTAGTTCAAAATGTTTCAATATTTTTTTAGGATTACCTGTCAGAATTTAATGCCGTAATCGTAGAACCATATTTGAACATGCATTTTCGAATGATATCGTTTCAGAAATTGCGTGTTTAAGGTGAATTTTTCAACTTCAAAACCTATAAAAGACCCATTAAATAATGCTACAAAAAAAAAAAAAATTTAAAGAGCTATACATCAAAGACCCAAAACCAGTGGCTACCAATGGCTACTGTGGACCTCGGACCCTGACCACCAAGCAAAACGAACTTGCAATAATTTCTGCCACATTTAAGATATAAATATAAAAGGTTGTAACTACAATCAGGACAACTCAGTTAAATGTAATTTCGAGCTACATGGAATTCCCCTTAAATTCTTTCCTTTGTTTGTACAATGTTACGAACGTTACTTATTGAAAAGTTTGCATTATTTTTCAATTTTTTTCATTTTTCTAACTGTTTTACTTGAAAATAAACTTCAAGTTCCGTGAAGAATCTTACCATACATCTAAAAAACTTACACACACACAGGAAGCTATTTCTTCTTGGTCATTTTATTTTTAATAACAGAATGATTCATAATAAGCTAAACTGCTGTTTGTAAAAAATGCAACGCCATGAAGGAATCATCAGAATTAAATGAAATTTAATGCACAAACGACTTGTATTAGTACAAATAAATGACGAAATTTTCAAAGCAAAAAACAATATTAAGTGTCCGAAAACAGTATTTGGTGTAGCCACCAGCGCTGCAATACGACGTGGCGAGTGAGTGAGTTGAATATTAACGTGGCACTGTTCAACTACACGAGGGCTTTTGGCGACGCACCTCGTAATTTTGAACCATGATCAAGTGACGAGGATGACACCTGAGCCGGCCCCCTCTCCTAACTACCACACCACACCAACGGGAGGAAGTTTAAGCTCTCGACAGATTTAACCTGCAATGCTCCCCTACACGGTTGGGCCTTAATGGTACTGGACTCGAACTCGTGACAAGCCAGCCACGATCTGATACCATGACCACTTGGCTACCGCGGCCACTATACGACGTGACATGGAGTCAAACAGATTTTGAATGTCTACTTGTGGAAGAGAATACCATATTGCTTATATGCGAAGCAAAAGTTTCTTCTTTTGAAGCTGCAGGACGCGGATCACGAGTGAGACGCTGACCAACCAAATCCCACACGCTGAGTTGAGAACGAGACGAGGCTTAGGTCCCGGGGCCAGTTTGCCCATGCCTTAAAGACCTTCCTGTAGATGAGTCTGTAACGTTAACATTAGTATTAGACCAAATATAAGAAATTCTATAGAGTGGCGCCACAATAGACCTTTGCACGCGGGTGGCCGACACTCTAGGATCGGTTCTGGTATTGTTGCAAATACGAGTTAATGTATATAGAGAATGAATGTGGGAAATATGCTGAATATTTTGAAAGGTTTTTGCTGTGTTGCCTACATAAGTAAAGAAAGCTGTGAAGGAATAATGCTTAAATACGGTTTAATTGGATCGTCGTATGCATGATCGAACTTTGGGAAAAGCATGAAATTGAGAGAAAGGAAGGGTAAGAAACAGGGGCGTAGCTACCGTAGTATCAGCTGTATCAATGATACGGGGTGTCCAAGCTTCAGGAGCCCCAAAATGTGCAAATGCTGAGAGCCCACCAAAAAATGCCTCCAAGGAATTTTGATACGGGGCCACACTCAGGATTAGCTACGCCTGTGGTAAAAAAGCAGTAAAAATAAAAAGGGTTTTGAAAATAGTGTATATTAATTTTTTCTTTTTTAATTAATTTTAATTAACTAAAATTAATTTATGATTACTTTTTAAATTAATTTTTCACTAATGATTTTAATTTTTTTAAACGTATTTTATTTTGGAACGATTTTCAGCTTTAAAGGTTTTTCTCTTATGTTTTTTGTAATTATTTTGCTTTTCCGCCATCTTGAATTTCGCGTTCTTGCATTACGTCTTCTGGAGGGGTTGCTACTCTGAAGGACAATAAGCGAAAGCGCGCTAAGTTGGCAATTTTCAAAATCGGGCCAATCAGTGGCCGATTCTGGGGCCCAAAATTTTCATGAATATTCAGGAAAAGACAAACGTACATGTTTCATGAAAACAAATAACTGAAGGCAGAACAACATAGAAGACAAGTAGCATTTACATTTTAAATATATATATATATATTATTTTCGTATACAACAGTTATTAAATAAAATATTTTGGAACTAGTTTGTTATCCGGGGTAATGGCGCCAAGCAGCGCTTCTTGTTGCTGGAATGGAATCCAATATGGCAGCCTAGCGGTGATTTAATGATACACAATAATTTCAAAGAATTGCTTTGAAATACATTGAATGTATTTCAAATGAAGGATGTAGGAAGAGATTGAGAACAACCTAGATGAATCAATAAATAATGAATATCAATATAATATAATAAAAAAAGTAACATGTACTAATAATAGTATTATAAGTAGCATATAATAATCTCACAATATAATTTTTTCGTAATTATATATAATATTCATATAGTACGATTTAATAACAATTATTAGAAATAATAATCATGTGATATAATTTAATAGTAATTATAAAAAAGAATAATCATCGTATTGTAAAAAAATAAAGTCTAAGAATACTCATGTAACATAATTATAAATTATAGCATAATTATAAATAAATAACATAAGAATAGCTATAAATAAACAACAAAAATAGTTATAAATAAATTATATAATAATTATAAATAAATAAAACATAAGAATAGCTATAAATAAACAACAAAAATAGTTATAAATAAATTATATAATAATTATAAATAAATAACTATATTAATTATAAACAAATAACAAAATATGTAATATAAATAAATAAATATTAAAGAAACAATTATAAATAACGAATATTATATGATTATTATATACAGTAATAATTGCATTTTTATATTACATTATTAATAAAATAATTGCATAATATTTGTTAAAATTAATAATGAATATCAATTACAAAGTACTGAAAGCTTGCAATATAAAACTTGCACTGCAAGTTCCTTCAACGAATTTCATAGAAAAAAAAACATGAAACG